TGCTGAAGTGTCGACCATTTCTGGCCGGCAACTTTCAGCATCATTAAGCCGCTGCGCCACCACGTCCTTAGCATATATGAGAATTAATTAGTATGATTAATTAATAGGATTAATTCCTTTTTATTAGGTTGAGCTAATAAAAAGGTTGGGCTGGGAAAGATGGAAGAATTCTCCCAGCGAGAGGTGTCTGAGCTCAGGTCACCCAGGCCAATTCATAGCTCTTCTGACTGCATTTCATTGATCTGTATTACACAGAACAAATACTGGGAGAGCAGAAAATGTACACTATAGCTATTTCCTTACATTTTAAGTTTTCAAAAAGTTGTTAAAGTACAAATAAGGAAACTTCAGCACCTTCATATCCAGCCCAATGAGGCCAAGAGGTATAGAAAACTTCATTCGTTAGGGTCAATATTCTGACAATAGAGGCAGAGATCAGATAGTGGCTTGGCCATGGAAGAAGTAACTCAAGCTATTTCCTCACAATTGATTTATAATACTATCCACCCTTCTTTGTGTCAGCAGAAAACAATGCTCTCATAAAATCAGCTGTCTGCATCATCAGTTCTTATCCTGTCTCTGGTGCATCTGCTGTGACTCCCTTCCAAACTCTTATTGTCCAAATTTGCAGGTACACCAGTTATGATAACATGCTATTTTTTTCTCCTCTAACTTTGCTGCTGCCCACTTTCAACATGCTGACAGAGAGAGAAAAAACATACATCAACTAGGCACAGCAGCATGGATGGGATCAGCCTGACAGCACCGCATAATTCTACAATTTCAAGACACACTGCAGACCCCTTGAAGATGGTTTGTCTGTCCTCCCTTCATCTGGGCATCTTGCAAGTTAAAATAATGTTAACTGAAGAAGCATATAACAAATTGGCTGCCAATCAAAAATGTCGGTCTATATTTTTTTAATTAACTGAGCACTATTAAATTTGAATTCAAACAAGTAACACAGACACTGTTCTAATGCAGACAGAAACAAATGAAGTACCAAGGTAAAAATAACCAAAAAGACAAGGAAGACGAATTCCAGCAATGACTGCCACTAGCTAGGTCCTATAGAACTGAATCACTGAAACTGAGCAACCACATCTGGTTGTCTCTTACTTCACCAAAGGAAATAGTTGATATTGACAAATATAGCAAAATTGGCAAATAAACAAGAAAGCAGAAACCAAGATCACCTTTTTTTCCCCACAGAAGACTATAATGCAGAAAAGCAGGAATGCTATATGTGATGAGGCTGCTCTCTACCATAGTGTCTGGCCAGCTCACTTATGAATGCATCTATCCAAACAAAACAGTTTGTCCTCATTTTACTACACAGGAGCTGATAGTAGGGAGCAAGTTTAGATTCTCATAGGAAAGTTGTCATAGGAAAAGGTAGAGATGCAGGTAGGCTGGTATCAGTATCAGATGCTACACTGGCATTACCTGTGGAGTCAAATAGCATCGAGGAGGACTCTGGGAAGACAACTGGAAAGAACACTGGAAATGGAGATGATGGCTGGCAGTTAAAATGGACTTTGACAGCAACTGGCTATCGAAGTTGGACTGTTAGTTTTCATAAAACCCAGTAAGGGTAGGTAAACCTGAGTTGGATTAGCTTGTGGACAAATGCCAAAAAGATTACCAAAAAGAATTATTTGGGAACTACTCAAAAAAGCACGAAGAGGAGACCCTGTGGGACTTTTCTACTCAACACAGAAAACTTGTGGTGAAGCTGAAGACGGAAAATAAGATCAAAGACACATCTGCTGCCAGTCTGATGGATGGAAAAATGCTTGCTAGAATAACTTCAGGACCTTTCTTAATTCTAGATAGAACTAGTTCCAGTATTTAGCAACACAGAGAAAGTTGCATATGTGCTCGGTACATGAATATACTAAGTTTATATTATTCTGTAACTTTCTAAGTAATGCTACTTTAAAATGGCTTTGAGCTAGATGTTAAAAGTCCAGAGGGAAAAATGTTTGATACTTTTGCAACAGGCTGTGGCAGGCTATCACTCAGGACAAGTATCTGACCACAACAGTTAGTGAGACTTGCAGTTAGAAAAGTGAGTGCTTGACCATTTTGATAAAGCTTGGCTGAAATTGCTTCTTACTGTCTTTTAAATGATTTAAAAAAAAAAAAAAAGAGCAGGGAGAGAGATTGGAAAATTGTGCCTCTTTCAATCAGATCTCTGAAACCCATATACTTCTGTCACATAGCATCTAACCAGATACCTTTTGGGAGTTATACAAATGCAAAGTTATCCAAACCACTGTTCTTTACTGAATAAAATAGTGAATTCTGCTCACTTGTATTTGTTTGGAAGCCTGGAGTGACAGAGATTTCAAAAATGGTGGGGGTTGGGAGGTTACTGGTATAATGGGAACTCAGGAAACAAAGAGGAAAGGGCAAGAGAAATAGCTGTAATGGAGGCTGGACAGCAACCAAAGGAAAGGAAACATGCTGGCACCTCCCAATACACATCTGGTCATATGGATAACAGGGTACCCTACCTTGCCGCCAAGATAGGGTGTGGCAAAGCATTATATATGTATGTATATACACATCTTGAAGCTGTTCTGAGATAGTACCAGGACAAGGGAAGAAAAACTATATTTATTTCAGTACATGAAATAAGAATAAGAATGCTAAAATTATGAGCTGGGGATGTGTCAGGCCCAGCCCAAGAACGATGAAACACTCCAGTCGAGTCCCTTTATTTGCTTACACCTTATAGACAGAATCTTGCCAAAGTAAATCTTTACTACAGCAACTAGTGGATATACCCTGGGAGATTCTAGGGAGTGGCAACCCTGAATCTTTTACTCTTCTCACGCTACCCCTGCGGACTGTGTTGTCTTTTGCCTCCTTTCCCCTGCTGCAATGCACCACCTCTTTCCTGACAACCTTGATCTCCCACATCACTCTCCTCCTTGTAGATACATTCCATCACAGGATGTGACCAAGGAAGAAAGTTGATTTTGGCCAGGTATTTATACCACTGCTATAAACTGCAAAGGGAGGCAGGAACTAGGCTTATATCTTTTCTCCCATCTCATTTCAGAGAGCTTAATAGTCAAAGTTTAAAGTGAGGCTGGGAGATTGTGGAAGGAAAGCCTGAGCTCTTCCTTCCCTTTTTTTCCTCTCCTGGGACTTTAAGGCAGCCTGAAGAGCATGGCACAACACCTGGTTTCAAATTATAAAAGGAAAATACGGAGAGCACAGAGTATTGGTGTGTATGTGGAGGAACCTTTGTGTTGTGTAGGGGGAACAGAAAGGAAGAATTTGTAGTTGAGGGAGCAGAGCAGCCATCAGCTCAACTGGCAACTGATGGTAAAGGAGGAGTAGGCTTGGACTTCAACCAACCAATAACAGACAAGCTGAAAGGAGAAGTGGAGCCCAGCAGCTTCACCACTCCAGCAGCAATGCTGAGAAGCTACAGCCAGCCAGCAGCTGGTAAAGCATCTTTCTTTTCTCACCCAGCAGACTGAGAAACTGCCAAGCCAATGCAGAACAGCAGCTGACAGCAATAAAAACCAATTAGAAGGTGGCTAAAGACTTAGGTGTAAGCTCAAGCAACAAAGAAGAATAGACTGTTTAGGGATAAGAAATACACACAGGTGTAGACATAGATGTTAGTATAGATATAGTATAAGATAGCATAGGCTTAGTAAGAAGTTGTAAGGTAGGAAATAAGTTTGTTTGTTTTTTTAAATAAAACACAGGGAAAATAAAAACAGCCTGTTGCTGGTCCATACCATTTCCCTGAAGAACCTCACAGAGATGAAGATTTATGTGTGTATGCATGCATTTATATGGCTGCCCAACTCAAACTATGTGATTCTGGGTACAAAAGATAGAAAAACTGTAAATTACACAAAATAACACATTAAAACATACTAATAAAATGGAGAAGAGGTAATTTTAACGGTTAGAACTATGGTTCTGACTTAGAACCATGGAATCTTCATTCAGGCTGATCAAGGTCTCCCAGGACTATCTACCATAGGAATTAGAACCCCCTGGATTTGGGGAGCCTAGGAAGAATCTTTCCCAAGGGCTGTTGCAATCACTTTTAAAACTGAAAGCCTATTGTATTAGGCCTGTAGCACTTGGGAAGTTTGATTAAATCTCTTCCCTGCAACAAAGGCATTTTACTAATGACAGGCACATCTGGCTCCTCTTCTTTGCATCCTGTTTCCAATTCCCCTTCTGTGTTTATTTTGTTCAGGCTAGAGAAGACCTCAGGAGATACTTTGTTTAAAAATAGGAAGCTGTCATTAGCCCAATATTGTCAATACTCTAGTATTGCACATTGCATTAAACCAGTTGTTTGGCTGGGTTTACCCATCCCATTAAGCCAAACCAAACATATCATGTGTAACTCAACCACTGACTGGCATAAGTTTCAGATTGTTTTTGTTCCATCTTGATCTATCAGAGATTTATCAATGATTTATTGACATCTGCCACTGAAATTTCTTTCCCAGTTTTATTTTTGAGCCATGTTCTGTACTATGTGTGTATATATATACACACAAACACTTATACAAACACACAAATCAAAGATTTAAATGACATTTATTCTTTGTTTGAAACATTAGGAATTGTAGTAATCCACCACATACATCAGCCTGTTGTTGAAACATCAGAGCAGTTTCTTAATTAGACAAGCCAGTTTTATAACAAGCATCTATAATTCCATAAGTTAACAAGAAACCAAATCCTTGATTTTATATTTAGTATACAATGCAAAAACAGAACCATTTATGCAGTGCAAAAATGTTAAAGCTTTTGGAATAAAGGCAGGCAGGAAGGCATATCCATGTATCAGTCTTCCCAACTATGTCTTTCAGACAAGCTGGACTGGTCACTTCCCAGAATGAACTGGTTGGGGGAGGTAACTTCATGCAAAGGGTATCATGTGTCCCTAGTAGCCTTTCTGCAATCCCTAGAAAGCAAAATGGAAGTCTTAACTTTGCAGCCTTACAGTAGTCGTTAACCTAGTAACTTTAATGTATTCATTTCATCCCTTAAATCCACCCCGAGGCTGATTTTGTTATTAAGGGGGCATTAAGGGACAATTAAGTCATTAAGGGCAGTAGGCGCAAAAGTTTAAGGCACCCATTTTGCTCATCGTTTCCCATACAAAACCAACCCAAAAAAGCCAAACATTTTGACCCTGTCTGCTCTGGTGGTATGAGTGACGTAATCTGCAACTTTGGAGTCCATTTGAAAAAAAATGACAAAAAGCAAACATACAAACAAAAAATCCCTTATATCCTTGGACTACCAAGGGAGACAGTAAACATCATCTCAACCTCCAGTTTTGGACATTTGGCCAATATAAGATATCAAAATTTCATTTAAACAGCTGTAGATATTTTTCAAAAATATTCTTTTTTATTTAGTTGCTAAGCCATTAGTCTTTAATCATGACAGTTACTTTTCTTGCCCCATAATTTGGAAGAAACTGATTTCAACCATCAATATCCAACTCACAAAACAGGAGAGAGGTTCCCTATGTTACTATTAGCTGCACATAAGTATATTTACCATTGGCGATGCCTGAATGATCATCTTTTGTCTTCTTAAGCTGAGACATGAAGAGACATTTTACTCATACAAGGAACTTCCAATAACCATACTTCTCCATTTCATCTTTGCCTAACTGGTAATCAACAACTATTATTACCAGTTACAAACAAAACTGTTAAAGTTTGAAATTAAATTAAATATCCTGGCTAGGAAACAAGTGTTTTGGTTTGGATGAAAAAAAAAAAAGTTTAATTAGGGGGTTGTGGTTTAATCATGTCTGGAATAGACAAACACAATCATATTTCTGTTTAGTAAGCCAATATGTTATCAACTGTAGCATCTTGTCTCAGAAGTCTCTTTGAACTAGAAGAGACAGAACTGTGCATCACTTAACAAAGACATTTTGTAACACTATCTACAGTATAAATACAATTTTATCAGAATCAACTTTGAGGGTAGCACATACATTTAGTTTTTACTGCATACCATAAGTTGACATTGCCTAGAATAAAATAAAAAGAGGCACCAAATTGAGCTATTCTATTTTAAAGGGGTACAGTTTTAAGAAGTTGCCTATTCTTTCTATGAAGCCAGCAATCCATAACACTAGCAGAGAAAGGAACACATTAGGGTTACTTCACTGGTAGATAAAAGGTGATAAAACACAAACCAAAATTCAGAGGTACCACTCTGTATGATCTGCAACAGCACCGCAAAGGTTTCTGATGGCCAGTAGTCTTACAATAGCAAGCAAAAAAACCCAAAAAACAAAACCCCAACAACCCTCTCCACCATAGCTTATCTTGTACAAACTGCTCATCACTCATCTTCATCATTTGTCATCTGCAAAATATGAACATGAACTGGACTCTGAACACAACTTTATATACTTCTGTTGAGCAGTTTTAGAATTCTGTGTTAAGATTTTTTTCCTAACTATAACAATCCAGTATAACTTTGTAATTATATATTCAGGATGACCCAGTACATTCTCATATATTTGCTCTGCCCTATAAACTGCCAGTTTGTGTTAGTTTTATTCTCCACTATTTTGCATTTGGCACCTAACCTGTATACTTCAAAATGCTAAGTAACAAAATAAACTGAAACTGGTCCACTCATATAAGCAGGTCAATAGATTAAATTATTTTACCCTTGAAAATCAAATTTTACCAGAAAGCATAGGGAGCCATTGACATTGGTAAGCTAATGCATGTGAAATATTGTTTTTATGCCTGCTTTCTTCCTTATTCATGAAAGCTAGAGCCTTGATATGTACATCATCCACAGATATTGATGTCTGCACAACTGTTTGGATTGTAAATTTGACAACTTTGCTCATAGTCATTGTGCAATAGTATCTTCATGTGTATATTGGCCTGCAGACTTGAGGAAAAAAAAGCTCTCATGAATTTTCATCAGCTACACTTTTTTTCTCCTTCAATGTATCTAGTCAAGCACAAAGAAGAAAACTGCAAGGCAATTTGGGTTATTGGGTTATCAACCTAAGATTAATAACAGACATTTCAATATAGTTGCTATACTGTTGTCGACAAGAGGTAGTTTGAAAGAAGGCACTTCATAAATAAGCCAACCATAAGCTGGGTATTTTTTTTCCATTAACATTAGGTAAGTGTATTAAGACATTAATAGGAGTAAAATCTCATTTCCTGGGAGAAGACATCGAAATCCATTGAAATTCTTATTCCATCAACTTGGATAAAAATACAAAAGTTTTAAAAATTACAGTGCTTCGTAATAGATATATGAGGCATTTATCTGATTGCAAGGTGAATTTTACCAAAAACACGGACTTTACACTTCCCAGAAATATTGAAAGCAGCAATTCCAATTGTAACTGCTTAAAATTATGCTACAAAGTGTTAAATTTCAATCAATTAAAGAGATATTGCTGTATCACATTTCCATTTATAGCTTACAAAAGATTTTTTAACACAGATTTTTAATGTTGATCTCATACTTTCTGCAATGAAAGAAAATCAATTTCTAGACACAAGAAAGTTGAATGTACTATTAATATTAGTAGGAAACAAAAAAGAAAATCCCCAGTATCATAATTTACTATCAAACTAAGGTTTGACTTGGCTCAAAGGAGTAAAGAATTGACTATGTACAATGGAAACCTCAGCTGGCCTGAACGTGAAAGTTGTCAAATTGTGTCAGTTCAAAAGAATGGGTCCCAATTGCTGCCCAGCCATTCTCTGGACTCTTTGTGGTGACGTTTTCCCAGAGAGGATAGCCATTCAACATGCCAGAGGCACTGGATCCCTGTCAAAAAGAAGAGAAGAGTACAAACTTATATTGAGTTACAGCAGTCAATGTTGTTTTCGGTATAATGATGAAGCACATTATAAGGCAGAAAATAAATCTACTCTGGAGAATATTTTGGTTTCCCACAAAGCAAATGCTAGCAAAGCTTGCATTTTAAGGGAGATCTGCAGTGCAAGATCTCCACTGAAAACAAATTTACAAAATAGTTGCCAGATGAAACAAGAAACCAAATCATGGCCACATTCCATAACCAAAGGTCACCCCTCTCGCTGACCTTTATTTGCACCATGCATATTTATCCACAATCCGGATACTCTGCAGAGATATGGACTTTAACTCCCAGAATTCCCCAGCCAGCCTGACCCTTTGAGACTTCTGGAAATTAAAACATGCACAACTTGGGGGGAGGGGGCAGGCAGTTAGGGAAAAGCTGGTGTATCTTGCTATTTCAGATGTATTTCCACAAGGATTAATTCCTGTCATTTCAATGTCACAGGAACAAATTTTCTGCAAGCTAAACTAAGTGGAGGAAATCCACATGGTTTTTTCCTCTATTCACCTCATTCAGAGGAACAAATCAGAATATATCCCCACCCCCCAAAAAGCAACCTCATGTTGCACAGTCCAGATTTTAGAAGTGGTATGAAAATTTATATCTACACTGCATCCCAAGAAATGTATTATTATAAATCCAAATCTGAACTCAGGAAGTGCAATTCTCAGAAAATATGTGGATAGGCAGATTTTAATCTGCCAGGATATTCTTGTACTAATCTCTAAGAGGCTATTCTTGAACAAAGGAACCTCTCAGCATGATACTACTGAATTGCAGCTTGTTAGGTAGTTGAATTTTAATACCTGTGGCTTAATGAGATAGCAGGTCTTTATCCCTCTATAGGAGTTAATCAGCTTACCAGTATTTGGATAGCACTTCAATGCTTACCTTAAGAATCAGAGTGAGTGTGTGCCATCTGTTTGCTCGCACACCAGATAACCCTTTCATCAAGATTTTATTACCAGCTACAAACAAATAACATTTTAAAATGTTTTCTCTATTTAGGAAGTGAACTAAAATTATGTATAACAGAAACTCTAAATCTGAATAAAATTAAACAAAACAAAATTAAAAGCATAACAGAATACAGTACAATTAGTTTATAATTCTCAAACTTTGGGACACAGTGACAAATTTAAATATAAGCTAAGAATAATGATTAAAGGATACTTTTCAATATTGTAATTTACTTGGAATTGTATAGCTGAGGGATTAATTGAAGTTCTAGAGCTTGGGTGCCAATAACATTTATCTGCTTCTTCAAATAAATGTGGGAAATAATGGTACTTCAAATTGGTACAAATATACTATTTTCAAGAGTGATATGTAACATGTTTCTAAAAGACTTTCTTTTCATTTTTATATGAATGCTTTATTATACCTCTATAAGTCTTTGCATTCTTGAAATGATCTTTAAGTTCCAACTAAATTATACAGAAGAACATTTTCAGGCTAATAACTTTTCAGTAAGATAGCCAAACATTGGGATTCCACGTATTATTTATTACGCACACACGCACCCATTCACGAATGAGCTCTGGATACTGTCTTTCCCATATTAACCTTACAATAATGGAAACTGTGAACTAGGTTAGGCAGAGGGAAGGTGACTGGCCTAGAGTGAGCCAGAGGTGCTAAATCCAATCTTCTGCTCGAAGGGCAGGTTACTGGTACCATCCATATACTCTGGACAAGATCTGTACGAGCCCTGAACACTGACCACGATGGCAAGGACTTGTGGAATTGTAAGCCAGACTGCTAACTGCTCAGCTAGACTGAATGTCACAATAGCTAAACATCACACTTTGAGCCCATTTTCAGTTTTGAATATTGAAAAAAGAAAATGCTCCTGTTTCAATCTTTTTGCCTCCTTCCTAATATCTGGAGGCACCAGGTTGGGTAAGGCTCTGAAATGCAGTTCTGCATGTAATAACTATTGCATGAAAGATTTGCAGTGCAGTTATCAAGCATCTAAGAATAGAGGGCAATTCAGCTATCCAACACTCACCACCTCGAAAAACATATTTAAAAGTAAGTACTCACCAAGGTCTCCTGTGACTTGATATGTGCCATCAGGAAAAACCCAGAAGAAAATTCCTTCGGCAATTGCCGTATATATGCCTCCTTTGTTAACTCTTCCCGCAATGAATGCTCCTCCTTTATTTGATTCTATATAAATGTCACAGGTTATTGTGAAATTTATCCTGCAAGAACAAAAGGAAGATGATCAAATTTCAGACTGAATTTTTTTAGGAATGAATACTAATAATCTTAATGTTTGAACAGACTTTTCTCTTGCCTATTTTGAAATTAGAATTGTAACCATAGAAGGAGGTGGGAGAAGGTAATCCAGATCACAATTATAATATTCAGGGGACTGATCTTTTCTTCCTGTTTCTCCCCTAAACCTCTAAAGTTATATTCTAAATTTGATGATGCTTTATTTAGTGCTAAAAATCATTCCATATAAGACTTCCCAAATAGGAACTGCTTCATATTAAATTACTTTTTAGCAAAGATGAAGCAGGACAAAGATAAATAGATCGATCAATCAACAATCTTTGTAAGGGCCAGGCAAAATCCATCTTCAAAATTGTCTGGTATCTTACAAAATTTTGAAATTTTCTTCCCTACAATGCCAACACTTCACAATATTTTAGGAGTTTTTTATGTTTAATTTGGGGCTCACTCAATACTATCTAGGACTGTTGAAAGTGTTATATTTCCTATCTCTATTATAAAATTAATTGACTATGTCCTATGCAGCCATCAATGGACCAGTTCAGTCCTCGATGTCAAGACATATCCGGGTGCCGACTGCAGTTCAGATCATGAATTGTTGGTGGCTAAGATCAGAGTCAAATTATGCAGCATGAAAAAGACAACACCACCAAAGAAGTCCCTGCCATGTATGCAGTTGAGGTGAAAAATAGATTTGAACTGCTGGATATTGCTGAGAAGATGCCTGACAAACTATGGCAAGAAATTCAATCGACCATCGTTGAAATAGCAGTTGAACACCAGAGAAAAAGTACAAGTGGCTCTCAGATGAAACCATCAGAATAGCCAAGCAAAGAAAAGCAGCCAAAGCAGCAGGCAAATGGGAGGAAGCAAGGAGATTGAATGCGGATTTCCAAAGAGCAGCAAGCAAAGACAACTAAGTTTACTGGGACCAATTTTGCAAGCAGATAGAAGAGGACTGCACAAAGAGCCACATCAGGAATGCTTTTGCACAAGTCAAGGGATTTACTTTTTAAACACTGTTTTCTGCTCAAAAAAGCATCATCAAAAACAAGCAAGGGAAAGAACTATCTGACCAACAAGGTGTCAAGAACACCTTGTGCCAGAAAGGTTGAGAAATGAACACATGGCCACAGGATTGGAAACAATCACCATTCATTCCATTGCCAAAAAAGGGCAACTCCAAGGACTGCTCCAATTATTGAATAATTGCCGTCATCCCACACACTAGCAAGATTCTTGTTAAGAACATACAACAATGTCTTGAGCTGACTATCAAAAGGAAATTATCAGGGCTGGCTTTAGAAGGGATCATAGCACCCATGACCATATTTCAAATCTACCCTGGATCACGGAAAAATTTCAAGAATATCAAAAGAACGTCTACATCTGCATTATTGACTACAAGAATGCATTCGATTGTGTCGATCATGACAAGCTGTGGAGAACCCTAGAAGACCTAGGGGTGCCAACACATCTGGTCTAGTTGGTGCAGTCACTGTATGCAAATCAGGAAGCCACTGTGTGAACACCATATGAAGACAATGATTTGTTCAAGATAGAGAAAGGAGTGCAGCAAGGTTGCATTCTTTCACTTTTCTTATTCAACCTGTATGCTAAAGTGATCAATTGGAACTTGCAGGATCAACTGGGAGCTGGAACTTGAAGAATCAACAACTGGAATAAAGATTGGAAGAAGGAACATCAACAATCTTTGATATGCTGACAACACAACCCTCCTCTCAGAAACAAAAGAAAGCCTGAAACGTCTGATCAAAAGGATTAAAGAAGAAAGGGAGAAATTTGGCCTCCTCTTAAACATCAAAAAGATCAAGCCCATGACCACTGCAAGGAATGGAAATGTCAAAATAGCCACTGATGATGAAGAGATCAAATGTGTACGAGAAATGACTTTCCTAGAATCACAGATCGATCAAAGCAGTGAATGCAGTCCAGAAATAAAGCACTGAATTGCACTAGATCGCACAGCAATGATGAGCATGAATCAAACATGGAAAAACAAGGACACCAGCCTGGCAACAAAATGCAGATTAGTCAGCACTATTGTGTTTCCCATAGCTACCTACAGTTGCAAAAGTTGGACCATGAAAAAACTAGACAGGAGGAAAATCAACAAGTTCGAGTTGTGGTGCTGGAGAAGGCTCCTGCACATTCCTTGGACAGCAAAGGTGACAAACAAGCAAGTTCTGGAGCATATAAAACCAGACATATTGCTGGAAGGCAAAATCACAAAATTCCACCTTACTTATTTTGGCCATGTCATGAGATGTCATGAGATAACATGAGATTTTTCTCACTGGAAAAATCACGGTGGCTAGACACCATCAAAGCTGACACCATCCGGAGCATAAAACAACTGAAAGAAGCCATACAAGATTGGAAAAGGTGGAGAGCTAGTCCATAGAATTGCCAAGAATCGGCCACAACTGAACAGACAGCATCATCATCATTATAAAATTGGAAAAACTGTACCTCTAAGAGCAGCAGAGCAACAGAGATGCAACTATCAGTCTCTCTAAGAGAAATGAATCTAAAAGGATAACCAAAAATATAATGCTCTATTTAATGTTCTATTTCTATTTAATGTTCTAATGTTCTATTTCTCTGGCTACCATGCTATCCTAGCTATATGGGCCCCCACTTGATTTCCAGGTGCATTCTTTTCTAGTTTGGTATAGCTCCAAGGAAGAAACAGCACCAAAGATGAGGTCAAGGGAAAGAATAGTAGGGAAGAGAATAAGCAATTATCTGATTGTTCTTTATAAATTTATTTGTAAACCATTCTGTATTCATTTTTTAAACTGAAGGGCACCACAGTCTCTTAAAATAAATTAAGTAGGTTTATATACAGCAAGTTTATTTGCAAGGCTCCAGTACCCAAGAGAGCAAGTAATTCATACTTTGAAGTATAATTCATATTCTTGTAACACACCTACTTTCAAGAATACTGGCTAGGACAATTTTCTTCATAGGAAATCTGTTCAGTTCTCTTTTAGCAATGGCTTATGCTCATCAGCTTCTCATTACATAGAAGGAGGAAGTAGGTGGCAATCTTGGATCACACTAAAAACATTATTACATAGCACTAGTTCTACATAAGCATGATGACAACTCAGACGCAGCAGAAAGGGCATGTTATGGGTCCCATCTATAAAGGAGTTCCATCTGACAGGATCCAGGAGAACCTTTTCTGCTGTGACACTTGCCCTCTGGAACATTATCCCCCCTGAGGATAGATTGTCGCCAAGCCTGTTGGCTTTTAGGAAGTCCCTGAAGACATGGCTGTGCCATCAGGCCTGGGGATCCCATGGATGTGGGGGCCCTGCAAGATGGCTGTATTGTCTGTAAGTTGTAGGTTGGCACTCTTCCACAAGTTTTTATTTCTGGTTAATAGTTTTAATTGTTTTACTTTATTTCTATGAGTTTGTCTTTGCTGTTTTAACTTCTGAGCCACCAGAGTCATGTAAGTGAGATGGGCAGCTATATAAATTGAATGAAATGAAATGAAATGAAAAATGAAATGAAATG